TGAATTCACCTTAAAGGGATACTATAAGCAACAAAACAACTTTAGCTTAATGAAACAGTTTTGGTGTATAGATCATGCCCCTACAGTCTCACTGCTCAATTCTTTGCCATGTAGGATTTAAATCACTTTGTTTATGCAGCCTTAGTCACATCTCACTGCATGTGAGCTACACAGTCTTCCTAAACACTTCCTGGAAAAAGAGAGCTAATATTTACACTTCCTTTTATTGCACAATGTGTTTAATTGAGAATGTTGTATCTCTTGTTCTGTCAAAGGCCTCCTACACCAGTGATGGCGAACCTTTTTGAGCCCGAGTGCCCAAACCGTAAAACATGCCAATTTTTTTCCCTCAAAGTGCCAAAACGGTAATTAAACCTGAATACTGAGGTTTAAGTTTAGAAAAAACAACTCATACAGTTGTCCAAACTAATTAACATCTCTGTGTGTGTATTAAGCAGTTTGTGTGTGTGCTCGGCAGTCTGTCTGTTTGTGTATTAAGCAGTCTGTCTGTATGTGTATGTAGCAGTCTGTCTGTATGTGTATTTAGCAGTCTGTCTGTGTGTGTATTTAGCAGTCTGTCTGTGTACTTAGCAGTCTGTCTGTGTACTTAGCAGTCTGTCTGTATTTAGCAGACTGCTGAATACACACACAGACTGCTGAGTACACAGTCTGCTGAGTACACACACAGACTGCTAAATACACACACACACACACACACACACACACACAGACTGCCGAGTACACACACACACAGACTGCTAAATACACACACACAGACTGCTGAGTACACACACACAGACTGCTAAATACACACACACACACACACACACATAGACTGCTAAATACACACACACACACACACACAGACTGCTGAGTACACACACACATACTGCTGAGTACACACACACACACAGACTGCTAAATACACACACACAGACTGCTGAGTACACACACACACAGACTGCTGAGTACACACACACACAAACTGCTGAGTACACAGTAGTGTGTGGGGTGATGTGTGTGTGTTTGTGTGAGGTGATGTGTGTGTTTGTGTGGGGTGATGTGTGTGTGTGTTTGTGTGGGGTGATGTGTGTGTGTGTTTGTGTGGGGTGATATGTGTGTGTTTGTGTGGGGTGATATGTGTAGGGCAGGGGTGCTGTGTGTATGTCGTTCCCCCTCCCTCCCCACTGTTTTCTTTCCCCCCATCCCTCCCTCAGTTTTCTTTCCCCCATCCCACACTCAGTTTTCTCCCCCCATTCCTCCCTCAGTTTCCCCTCCCATCTCTCCCTCAGTTTTCTCCTCCCATACCTCCCTCAGTTTCCCCTCCCATCTCTCCCTCAGTTTTCTCCCCCCCATACCTCCCTCAGTTTTCTTCCCCCCCATACCTCCCTCAGTTTCCCCCATCCCATACCTCCCTCAGTTTTTCCCCCTCCCCAGTTTCTCCCCCACCTCCCTCAGTTCCCTCAGTTTCCCCCTCCCATCTCTCCCTCAGTTTTCTCCCCCCATACCTCCCTCAGTTCCCCCCCATCTCTCCCTCAGTTTCCCCCTCCCATCTCCCTCTCTCCTCAGTTTTCTCCCCCCCATACCTCCCTCAGTTTCCCCTCCCATCTCTCCCTCAATTTCCCCCCTCCCATCTTTCCCTCAGTTTCTCCCCCCCAGCCCCCTCAGTTTCCCCCTCCCATCTCTCCCTCAGTTTTCTCCCCCATCCCTCAGTTTCCCCCATCTCTCCCTCAGTTTTCTCCCCCATACCTTCCTCAGTTTCCCCCACATCTCTCCCTCAGTCTCCTACCTTGTAGCGTGGCCGTGCGCACCACGGAGCTGTTTCCTGTACCCGGCCGGACAGGAGGTGCTCTCTCTGTGAGCACTTCATTTCCGTCCACCCAGGTACAGGAAACATAAGTTCCTGTACCGCGGCACGCTCGGCCACGTTAGACAGAGTGCCTGGCAGGAGGGAGCGCTATGCACTCACCTCCGGCCGACCTATGGCCGCGTGCCCACAGAGGGGGCTCGGCGTGCCACCTGTGGCACACGTACCATAGGTTCGCCATCACTGTCCTAGACCCTCCAGTTTCTAATTAAAGTTTAATTAGCAGAGCAGGAGTTAAAACTTCTAAAGTAAACACACTGTGCTGACACATCTGATTTAAAATAAAACTTACTTTTTTCATGTGAGTGAGAGCCAGTATGGCTAGGGCTGCATTAACAGAAACAAACATGTTTTAACTCCTAAATGAAAGAGAATTAAGCAGTTGTTTTGGTGCTTACATTGTCCCTTTTATATTACTGACAATCCACTAACTCTACATGTGACTATGTAACAGGCAACCATACAGTAGAGTTACACTATTTTACTTTATTCTCTAATTTCCAATGAATTAATCATGTCAGCTGTGCCTTTTTTTATATTCTGATTGCCTAAAAATTCCATACCTGACTGATAGGAGATTCTCTTGCAAACTCTTGGTGATTTAATTTTACGCTTGACTGAAGAAATGAATGTGTGTGCAAACAGCTGTATTGTATAGCTTTTATGTTCATTTTCTCTAAGGATCTCTTCCATATATTTATAGAAGCAGGCAGACACATAGACCATTGAGATGGAAAAATCAACTAAGCCTTATTTTCAAAGAATTTTTGTTAATCCTTACTTCCTCCATTCTCTTCATGTTGTCTTGCATTAATAGACTAAAATGGAGACAATCTATTAATCTCTTTTGGAACATATATAGCATTGTTCCCAAAGTGAGAATTCAAAGTGAATGTTATATTTAAATGGTTACTCCAACCACATGACCACTGCAAAAGTGCTGCACATCCAGAGATGTTTGCACTTATGTCCCGGGGACCTAATTACATGCCAGGCACATGTGACTTTGGCAGCCAGGAACTCTGTTTTGGATTTTCAAATGTCAGTTATGTGCAAAATTTGTGTCTGTCGTCAACACATATGGCACGCTGGCAGCAAATGGAACAATCTCCTCCCGCCTGCAAGTGGAAAATCACTCTCCCCACTCTCCCTATGTGCAGTCCCTCCCATCTCCCTCCATTACTTAAATCACAGGCTTCATTATAAGAAGCCTTCGACTGGACCACACAAGTCCATTGCTTATTTGAGACAGAGAAGGGAGGTTGGTGCCCGGAGTTTTGGTCAGCGCTAGTTTACAAGTAACTTTTAACTCTTTTTTTGTTTTGTTTTACATTTTAAGGGTGGGAGCAGGGCTATTAGCAATGCCCAACAGGACATTGCAAGACCAAAAAACGTAAACTGTCAAAAAAAAAAAGTTGGAGTAACCTTTTAAGATAAAATTAGCTGAACTAGAGAAATTCTCAAAAGTCAGTTATGCTTTCAGTTTGTCTACTTTGGCCTTAAATTTGAAATTCCCTTTGAAAGTTTTTAAATTTGTATCCAATAATGTATTATATATATATATACATATATATATATAGAATAAACCTAACTCAAAATGGCCACATGACTAACGTGTATCCGCTTACTGTTCAATAAAGTTTCTTGAGTTGTTATGTTGAATAAAAAACAGTGTTGGACTGAACACTTTCTAAACCATTTATTGGGATAAGTACCATAGGTCCTTTATATGCTCCATCCATGTTGCATTTTCTGGGGAATTGCCAGCATTCTAACGGATTCTTTACTATATATCTTATAATTCCGCTGTTATATTATAGCACTTTGAGTGCGTGTCTTAGTCAAGCTCAGCTGCTTGAAGCCAAAGGCATTTTTTTTAAACTTATTAGTTTCTCATCTAGGGAGTTGGCATATTGTAACGTAACAATATTACATTGGCACCTAAATCTCTTCCTTAAGCAGCTATAATAAAATTCAATTCACTCTATTAATTTCTCAGAGAATCAGCCTGGGCTGGAATGGCATCTTACCCTTTATTAAGTGCACGTGCATAATCACAGGCTCGAAACACAGTGATGGAGATGATTAAAGCTCTTGTTCTGCGCTGAATGCAACCAGCAAAAATGGAAAGCGTAAAAAAAGCTAGAAAGTAAAAAATCTGCATATTTATGATCTGAGAGTGCTTATAATTCCCTCCTCCCCGAAACTCGTTGATAGAAATGTGAAAAAGCCACTGTAAAAAAAAAACAGTTCTAAGAGAGATATCTTGATCATGTGTCAGCATTTATCAAATTATATTAACACTTAATGTATGTATAGGTTCACATTATATATATATATATCGTGCTACTGTTTGTCTGGGGATATTTGATCACTTCAGGACAGTTACAGGAATAGTGTGTCAAACTGACCTATTCTTTGAAACTGCTGTGAGAATGTCTGTGCGCATGTAAAACTACAAAACTGTAAAGACAGAAGACTGTGTCATCTTTCTTTATTACTTTGTTTAGCAAGTTTAGATCTTTGTATACACATTACGACGGGTTACGCAAAGAGTTTATTTTCCTGATGATAAAATACTTTATACTCTTTCATAATAATAATTTATAAACTTTCAAATAATTTATAAACTTTCAAAGAGTGAAAGTTATTGCTAGGTCAACCGTCATGATTCATGATTTCAATGTTCTTTCCCCAATGGCTTGTGCACTTTGTTTTTGGTGTGTTTAAATGGTAATACCTCTTGGACTCCTTTGTTACTTCAGATGACTGGGGGGCATGTTTTGTTAAGTAAAAATCAAAAAACAGAATGACTCTGGCAGGGAAGCCTTAAGTGCTCGATAATAAGTCAACATATATTACACACAACAGGGTAATAGGTACCTTGCACTTTGTGTTTTGTGCAATGTGAGTTATTTATGCAGTAAAAGTTATGATTATTTTAAAATAAATATTTCACAAAGGTTAACCTGCATTCATTAAGTGTTTTCTTAAAAGTCACTATATATAATTCTTAGGTTATCACACACAAGCCTCAGGTCAAAAGCTTTACATTTCCATACGTTATATACAAATAATGAGATTTTAGAAAGTGAATAATGTGACATTTATAAGTAGATGGAACCAAACTAACCTAACTTTATTTATCTCTTCTTCTTCTTCTTCTTCTTCTTCTTCTTCTTCGTCTTCTTCTTCTTCTTCTTCTTCGTAAGAGTCTGCTATTGGAGTAGGAAAAAGACAACAGAAAGAAGATGGTTCCCCTGTGCTATGCTCTAAGTCAATGATCAGAACCTTAGACTCTGTATGCAAGAATCCCTAGAAGTTAAGAGAATACTTCAAATAGAGTGCCCTCCTCCCAAGGACTTAAAGCTTTTAATTGAGTACCTTTTGCCCTAGTTGAACTTCATATTGGATTTTAGTGTAACATCCCCACTTTTAAGTATTCTTGCTGCCAGCTCATAAGCTTTCTTCAAGTTCTGGAACTCCTAACAAAATGTAATGAGGTGTTCCTTTACATTTTAAAGGAAGTGGTTGGAAATAGTGGAAAAATCTTGTGCAAACCTGTAGCTGTATGCAGACTATCCGTACAATAACCAGAAGTTAAGGTTGAACTGAAGAACAATTTGCGTTTTCCGAGTACGACTGTCAACAACTTCGAGAACATGAGCAATGTACATATAGCATAATAGTTCTAGGATCTGCTTGAACACTATCCAAAACTAAATGTACATTTCCTGGTAAAATGCTTTCATACTGTTTAATGTAAAATTTCGATTCATACATTTGTGAAATGACATTTTACACCAAACAAAAAATTAAATGTTTAATTTTTTTTTTCTGGTAAATACATTTTTTTTTTCTATAAAATAGAGACATAATAATGTAAGTCTATAACTCTGTAATAAATGGTTAAAACTGACTTTAGTTTTTTTGCTGTCAGCATTCCGTGTAACATCTGCTATCCTGCTGATGTTAAAATCTGTGACAGGCCTTTCTTTAATAGATAGAGGTTCTGTAAAAGTATTTATCCCTGTGACGAGACCAATCTCGCCACATTGCATTGGAGAAGCCTGGTTGCTCACCTGTTACCTTTGGACTATGGCCCTATGTTAAAAGCCTTCTTTTCCTTGGCAGAAAAGGCTTATTTGTGCCTTTCTGCCCGGTGGTCGGTAGATTCAATCTACCGAACTAACGCACGAATGACTGGACCACCTGGGAGCTGGAGTGTGTCGGCAATTTACCTCCCAGAAGCTGTGGTTAACCGCAGCTTAATTGACGAATGCTGGGTGGCTTTTGTTCGGCTGCCGAACACGTGGTGGTGGCCATTTTAAAGTCCCGAACGGCCAGCGGTGTTCAGCGCCCAAACTATGGAACTATAAACGGACACTTATTTGTGCGAACACCGCTGAGTCGTCAGCCTCCTTGCTTCTGCATTCGGTCATTTAACCGGATGCCTGTTCATTCGGTAGTTTAAACCATATGAACAGCATTACCCCAGATAGCCATCACGTGGAGTCTATTCGTATGGAGACTTTGTGAACTCCACAGCGATTGGACTGTGTGCATAGGATCTGAGCGCTATTCTGTACTTTTGTGCGCTCAGATCCCAGCTATCTGGGGATGGGTTACATGTATATATTTTGTGTGACAAATGTAATATTGTGTATTTTGTTGTATTTTAGTGTTTTGTTGTAGCCATGTGGGCAATGGAGTTTTGCCTCTGTCCTGGGAGATAATTTGATTACTTTCCAATTATCTCCATGACAGAGGGAGGGAAGTTAGGCTGCATTGTGGGGATGTTTTACCTCTGTGTGTCTGTCATTGGTTCATGTCTGTCCTGTGTCACAGTCTCCCATTTGGTCCCCTAGGGGAGTGTCCACCAGGTGGGAGACCTGCATACATACTGGGCAGGTAGCCCTCATTAAAACAGACCACTGCTTGACCCTCAACACGGCGCTCTGTCTCGTCTTTGGGGGGATTTACTGTATGCTGATAGAGACTGATTGCTAGGAGTGTAAGCCGCTTGGGTGCTTTTCCTATTCGTCTGCTAGCAGCTATACGTGAGGTTCCAGTTCGGGTGTTTGGAGTGCTAGTTTGTATGCAGTTTGGGAGTTTAGAAGCAGAGACCCAGATCCTGACCCATTCAGCTGGGCAGATATTGCAGAGCGTTACTGGGAAAAACCCCAGGTGGCTGGTGGAGATGGGACCGAGGTGTCTCCACCGGTCCTGCAGGGAATTGGGAGCCCAGTCTCCATTCCCCAGTGGGAGATACAGCAGGGAATTGGGAGCCCAGTCTCCATTCCCCAGCAGAAGGCTGAGTTACAGGGGACAGAGATAGTTGCTCCTGTCCCCCAGCGGTAGAGTGAATTGCAGTGAATTGGGAGCCCAGTCTCCATTCCCCAGCAGAAGGCTGAGTTACAGGGGACAGATATAGTTGCTCCTGTCCCCCAGCAGCAGAGTGAATTGCAGGGAATTGGGAGCCCAGTCTCCATTCCCCAGCAGCAGGCTGAGTTACAGGGGGCAGAGACAGTTGGCCCTGTCCCCCAGCGGCAGTGTACCTTGCAGGGAGAGGAGAGCAGCGTCCTCCCTCCCCAGTGGCAGGGTGAGCTACAGGGATGCTGGGCGGTCGGCTCAGATCTCCAGCGGCAGAGTGAATTGCAGGGAATTGGGAGCCCAGTCTCCATTCCCCAGCGGCAGGCTGAGTTACAGGGGACAGAGATAGTTTCTCCTGTCCCCCAGCAGCAGAGTGAATTGCAGGGAATTGGGAGCCCAGTCTCCATTCCCCAGCGGCACTATGAGTTATTGGGAATTGGGAGCCCAGTGTCCATTCCCCAGCGGGAGATACAGCAGGGAATTGGGAGCCCAGTCTCCATTCCCCAGCGGCAGAGTGTCCTACAGGGAATAGAGAGCCCAGTCTCCTTTCCCCAGCAGCAGGACTCTGTATTGGGAGCAGAGACAGTTGGTCTCCCTCCCCTGCGGCTGGAAGTATATATGGGAGAGGAGCTTGTTACCCCCTCTCCCCAGCGGCAGCTTAACATACCAGGGGGAGACAGTAAGCCCCACAACCATGCAGATGGGACCGTGGTCTCTGCACTTACAGCACAGGGGGTAGGGACTGCCCCCCAGTGACAGGGCTGTTTAGCCAAAGGGGAGACAGTCGGCCTCCCCCTCCAGCAGCGGAGCTGTGTATCTAAAGGGGAGACCGTCGGTCTCCCCCTCCAGCAGCAGAGCTGTGTAACCAAAGGGGAGACAGTCGGTCTCCCCTCCAACAACCAGGCTCCAACCAGGCTACTCCCGTGGTAGCGCTGGCACCAGGGCAGAGTATGGCTGGTTTCTGCCCACTCAGCAACCCACCAAGGCAGCTTACCAGTCACCCACACAGCCATGGTGAGGCACCTGGACATGGACAATGTTCTCCTCTACCCAGGTGTAGTAACCAGTTATTGTGGGTGGGATGTATTACTGATTGTGTTTTGTGGGTGGGCTGCTGGACTAACAAGGGCACTGACCGGCAGGAGGCCAGATACCCTGTTAGTCTGTTTGGAAAAGGGGAGAGATGTGACAAGACCAATCTACCGAACTAACGCACGAAACCAATCTCGCCACATTGCATTGGAGAAGCCTGGTTGCTCACCTGTTACCTTTGGACTATGGCCCTATGTTAAAAGCCTTCTTTTCCTTGGCAGAAAAGGCTTATTTGTGCCTTTCTGCCCGGTGGTCGGTAGATTCAATCTACCGAACTAACGCACGAATGACTGGACCACCTGGGAGCTGGAGTGTGTCGGCAATTTACCTCCCAGAAGCTGTGGTTAACCGCAGCTTAATTGACGAATGCTGGGTGGCTTTTGTTCGGCTGCCGAACACGTGGTGGTGGCCATTTTAAAGTCCCGAACGGCCAGCGGTGTTCAGCGCCCAAACTATGGAACTATAAACGGACACTTATTTGTGCGAACACCGCTGAGCCGTCAGCCTCCTTGCTTCTGCATTTGGTCATTTAACCGAATGCCTGTTCATTCGGTAGTTTAAACCGTATGAACAGCATTACCTCAGATAGCCATCCCATGGAGTCTATTCGTATGGAGAACAGACTTTGTGAACACTCTAACTCCACGGCGATTGGACTGTGTGCATAGGATCTGAATGCTATTCTGTACTTTTGTGCGCTCAAATCCCAGCTATCTGGGGATGGGTTACATGTATATATTTTGTGTGACAAATGTAATATTGTGTATTTTGTTGTATTTTAGTGTTTTGTTGTAGCCATGTGGGTAATGGAGTTTTGCCTCTGTCCTGGGAGATAATTGGATTACTTCCCAATTATCTCCAGGACAGAGGGAGGGAAGTTAGGATGCATTGTGGGGATGTTTTACCTCTGTGTGTCTGTCATTGGTTCATGTCTGTCCTGTGTCACAGTCTCCCATTTGGTCCCCTAGGGGAGTGTCCACCAGGTGGGAGACCTGCATAAATACTGGGCAGGTAGCCCTCATTAAAACAAACCACTGCTTGACCCTCAACACGGAGCTCTGTCTCGTCTTTGGGGGGATTTACTGTATGCTGATTAGTGATGTACCGAACGGTTCGCCGGCGAACGGTTCCTGGCGAACATAGCATGTTCGCGTTCGCCACGGCGGGCGAACATATGCGCGGTTCGACCCGCCCCCTATTCGTCTTCATTGAGTAAACTTTGACCCTGTACCTCACAGTCAGCAGACACATTCCAGCCAATTAGCAGCACAGCCTCCCTAGCAGACCCTCCCACCTACTGGACAGCATCCATTTTAGATTCATTCTCAAGCTGCATGCTTAGTAAGAGGAGGGAAAGTGTAGCTGCTGTTCATAAGATAGGGAAAAGCATAGCTAGGTTAGGGATAAGGGTATGCTTTTTTTTTATTTTTTTTTCTATGTAATGTAAATGCACTTAGTTGTCTGCCACTGCTGCCAGCTTCTGTGTCAGGCTCACAGTGCCCATTTCCCCAGTCAGTGCCACCAATTACATCTGGTGTCACAATAGCTTGGATTTAAAAACAAAAAACTTTTTCACTGTTATAGATTGAATAGCAGTCAGTTGTCTGCCACTGCTGCCAGCTTCTGTGTCAGGCTCACAGTGCATACTGTGCCCATTTCCCCAGTCAGTGCCACCAATTACATCTGGTGTCACAATAGCTTGGATTTAAAAACAAAAAACTTTTTTCACTGTTATAGATTGAATAGCAGTCAGTTGTCTGCCACTGCTGCCAGCTTCTGTGTCAGGCTCACAGTGCATACTGCGCCCATTTCCCCAGTCAGTGCCACCAAATACATCTGGTGTCACAATA